ACATGTATGAACATAAGAGAGCGCAGATGACACAAGAGAGCTCAGCCATTATGCGTGAACCGACAACAGTTCACTGTCTCCGCGCTCATAACTAAGTCTGCAGACACGCCCACTTTAGCAGTGAGATATGGACTGCAGAGACATACGCGGGCACATCACAAAGAAATGATGGACAGGTAGTCGAGCCTATCAAATTTCTAATTAGTTTCTGAGAATTAAAGATTCTTCATATAAAGGTGAACACCCAAGAAAGGCAATAAACCGGACTCAGAGAGGTCAGGTGACGAAGAGAAATTTTTTATGCGAAAAAACATTTAGAAAGAGAGATATACGTAAAGAATCATATATACTCTAGTTCGCTGCGGACGGTTGGGCGTGTCAGGCAGTATGAGTGTGTCACGCCGTCAAAGCCGTTCTCTGCCTTCTTGTTGAAGCGCGCATGCGACAAAAAGTGGTAGAAAACGAGTAATACGAACGATATGATACAGTTATCACTTGCTCGCTTTAACAACTGGTGGAGAACGCACCGCGCCGAACGGATTGGCACCACGCTAAACTCATCCCGCCTGATATGCCCAACCGTCCGCAGCGAACGAGAGATTTGAGGCATAAAAAATGAAATTTAATGTACCTCTTCGAATTTTATGCGGATACACTTCAGGGGTTTCCAATTTTTTCTGGTTATCCTTGCGTGTGTCTTCCGATTCCCACTTTCGTAAAAGTGCAGAATTTCTTCGAAGACGTTGACCGATTCTAATGAACTCTGGTACTTCCTCTTTATTTGTTGTTGGTAAAACTTCGCAGTACACTGCACGATCTTTAGTTACCTGAAAATGAAGAAAAAAAATGGGCCAAGCTGTGGAAAAAAAGCTATAGCCACAAGTCGCCCCCGTGACGCTTTGAGCCAATCTCACTATTGAGGACAGAAGAATAAAAGATTGTCCCGAACGACGGTGGGCTATGAATTTATGCTGAAATCAATGCGAACCCTTGGGACATTTTTCAAAAAAAGTAAGACTTTTTCAAAAAACCTCAGGTGAGGGTGGAAAAAAGGCATTGTGCGGAGCCAATACCCTCCCTTCGCCTCAACCCGTTGAAATTAGGTAAGCCTCCCTAAACCATTCAGCAGAAATAGTAGTAGAACAGTATAGCCGCCGATAAAAGAGAGGAGAGCGCGCGTTATCAAGAAAAATCAACAATCAGGGAGAGTTCTGCAAAAAATCTTCGTCTTTCTTGCCGGAGGCTACCCCCGTCTTGCTTCAGAGACCTACCACTAGCTGGAAAATCTCCAACGTGCAGGGTGTTCTAGGTTTGCTGTCCTGAATAACTAACTTGTACAAGAAACTTCAACTCACTTCGAGGACTTGGAATGGTTTTGCAAAGTTCCCATTAGAAACGTCGTTTTTCATTTCGAACATCCTCTGAGTCGTTAAACTTGGCTCAAAAGTGCGCTGCTCACGCCTTTCGTATGGACGTGTCACCAATTTCGTTTCCTGGACATAAGTTCCAGTTCTTCCGTGAAGTTCTTGTGAAGGTTCGAATCCCTTGTCGAAGGGAGAAGGGGCGGAATATGGCAGAGCATAAGCAGACGCAGGTCGAGTGCGAGTGTCGCTTGGGCCCTGAAATATGCAGATTGCATCATGCCACGAACAATTTCCAGAAGATCTTTCATTCATTAACAGCATTTGGTTAATTTTGAAAATTTTTAGCGATAAATTTCGTGGCTTCGGAGGCTCCTGACGCGACCCATCAGAATTTTGAGGGAATGTACAGCGCTGTGCGCTGCGGATGCTGGAGCGTTAAGCTGCGCTCATACTTCGCGGCAGCGCGCACCAGCGTCAACCAGCGTCCACCAACGACCACTAGCGTTCCAAATGTTCGGCAACGTCAGCAACTGGGAAAGTATAGCTATTGATCTAGCGTCAGCCTCCACCAGCGTCTGTCTGCGTCTGCCAGCGTCCACCAGCGTCTCGAGGGCTAGGGAAGTATAGGTATCGATCTAGCGTCTGCCAGCGTCTACCAGCGTCCACCAGCGTTCACCAGCGACCGGGAGTAGAGAGTATGGGGAAGTAGGAGGGTAGCAAACAGCTGGATTAGGCGTCGTGAAATTGCGGCGTGTGCAACCGCACCGCACAACTGCTAAAGCACAGAATTATGCAATTTAATGTACGGTGTAGTGTAGTTGTACGGTGCGGTTGCACACGCCGCAATTTCACGACGCCTAATCCAGCTGTTTGCTACCCTCCTACTTCCCATACTCTCTACTCCCGGTCGCTGGTGAACGCTGGTGGACGCTGGTAGACGCTGGCAGACGCTAGATCGATACCTATGCTTCCCTAGCCCTCGAGACTCTGGCAGACGCTGTTGGACACTGCTGGTGAACGCTGGAAGACGCTGGCAGACGCTAGATCGATATCTATACTTTCCTAGTCGCTGACGCTGCCGGACGCTCGGAACGCTAGTGGTCGCTGGTGGACGCTGGTAGACGCTAATGGACGCTGCCGCAAAGCATGAACGCAGCCTTACAGGGTGCTAGGTTTGGCACGGCACTACTCCGTTCTTCACAGGTTTCTTAAGAGAACGAAAGGCAACCTAGTCTCTCCCTCCAGCCCCTCCCCCTCCCTTAAACGCTCTAGCATCAGCAGCCAACAGCATTATACAAACTCAGGGACGAAAAGCGAGTGCCATACTTTGGATAAATCAAGATTCGGCAGTTGTGGTTTCGAGCGGAAACTACGATTAGAACTTCAGCATCGCTGGGAGAATTTCATCGAGAGGTCATACCTGGTCGGCTAGGACGAGTTTCTTGTCAGGCTTTGACGAGAAATTTCCAGTGAGTGAATTTTGCCGCCCCACGCGTACTGTACTCCTTCTCCCTCTCTAAGGGCGGCTTGTAAAAACACTATATAACCACTAATTCGGCTGCTAGCTGATTGTAGAGAATGGAGAGAGCCCCTTCCCCTCCCTCGCCGTGCTCGACGCTTTTGGGGGAAAATCGGTAAAACTTTCGGAAAATTGGCAGGAGTTTGGGAAAATTCGGTAAGGCGGTAGGCAGGTTGTATGATGGTGGTACAGGAGTGGTACTGGATGAAGACATTGGGGGGAGGGGCGTGACACAATTTTACCTACCACGATGCTGTAGTCTGGTAACGGCAGCTAAAGGATAAAGGATAAAGTCTTCGCCGTTGATCAATCCCTTTGTGGGATGCGGCACGCATTCTACTTCCATTCAGAATCGTAGTGGCTTATTGAATGGGACCCGGGCGATTCTATCGTCGGCAAGTCAGGTCACGTCGCGCACATCGCGTCGCGGCGTCTCGCGCGGCGGCGCGGTGCGACAATTCCGGAGTTGCATTACCGACATACAAATGAGTCTCGAAGACCGCGTATTCACAAGTTCCGAAAAGCCCAAAATTGGATCAGTAATTTTGAACAAATAACGTGGGACCAGTCTTACACCCCTTTACTTTTGAATGCGGAAAAAACAATCATTGATCATCATAGGAAAATGGGAAAAGCAGTACAGGATTAACATAAACAATATGGCTTGATGATCATTTTAACAATTTGAACGAGCACGACGCAGCAGGACTCGTACGCGGCGCCCACCAGCGCGGCGACCTACTTATCATCGACGATAGAATCGCCACACACCCTATTGAATGCGATGTGGCCTATACAATGACTTGCGGTGGCCAGCCGATGTACAAGTCAGTGTTTTATCCTCCCAGACGAATCTGGTACCAATTTACCGTCCCCGGAGGGTAGAAGGCTTGGTTGGCCTGGGCGGGAGTCGACCCGGGATTTGAACCCGGCGCCGCGCGAGTGGTAAGCGCGCCACTTGTCACTACACCACCTCCGCCTATAACGGCAGCAATCTACAATATTGCAATTATCCTAATAAGTGAAGTCAATTACCATTGAAACCATGAGCCTTTTTCGTAGTTTTCTTGGAATATCTATCCTCCCATCGTTAGTAAGCAGGACCCAGTTCCTGAGGAGTGGGGCAGGCTTTCTGGTGCAGTACGTTGGGTGGACTGTGATGCTCTCAGAGCTTCTACGCCGCTTTCTCCCCAGGCTCATCATTAGTTGCGGATTTTAGTCGAGTTCGTACGACCCACCTAAAAGGTAGTTTGATACAACCCCCTCCCCTCCCTCCGTTGGGAACTTGAAAGTTGGTTTCTTTCCGCAAGACGGTGATTTACACTTTCCCGAAAGCATGCAGTAGAATGAAAGGTTTGTCGTGCCTTTCAATGCCTCGGCAGCTCTGTACAAATTCCCTCGCCCTAGTGGGATAGCCCATTTTCAACAATAACAAAAAAAGAAGAAAGAAGATAAGGAAAAATAGATTAGTTAGTGCTCACTCTTTCATATCTCGAACTATACGATGGCCTTCTTTGAGTAGAGATCTCGAATTTACGCCGAAGAGCGCTGATGGTCGCAGTCTGAACAATGGCAGTGATTCAATGAACTTTCATTCGAAAGGGCATTGGTAACCAACCTTGTAATCATCTTGCTCCTCTGTTTTCAGTGCACGATGTAAAGTAATTGGATGACTACCCGATTCAGCATCTGCAATGACGGCGGGTTACGTATTTCATATCCAGGCAATGGAGAGGGCGTGTCTACAGACTCCAACAAAACGCGGAGAAGTTGCGAATCTGCTTGGATAATTTCGTTCTGGGAGTATTTTAGTTATGTCTGTGAGCAAAGCGTACAAGATGGAAGTTGCTTCAAATAGAAAAAGCCGGGCGAAACACGCATCTTAAGCCATATTCAACTGAGGTACGCAGCCACGCCCTCCAGCTCCGTGATGTGAATCGTACTTCCTCTCAATTGCTGCACTATTCGACACTAATCAACTACTTCCGCCACCAAAAAGACTCGGAAATTGTTTGCTGAAACATGGCCTATGAAGGCTAAGCTGAATGGCCTCCCAAGTATGCGTGTCTCAGCTTAATCATTTTACTGCATTGTGATGTGTGAGATGGTGGTGTCAGTATCCCCCCCCCCACCCCTAAAAAGAGGGTCTCGTACGACCTTCCCCCCCCCCCTCCTTCCCCAACACCTACCTTCTAGTTTCCTACATGTTCCCAGCTCCCTGACGATTCTTTCCGAAATTTTATATTTTTTCCCAAAAATGTTCCGTCGAGGTGAGGGGGGAGGTACATAGTAGATGTGAAACGGGAAAAACCGCGAAAAGTCAACAACCGGGGAACATTTTTCCCAACGCGGCAAATTTCTCTCAAAGCCACATACGACCGCCCGCCCCCCCCTCTTCTAACAACAACCAAATACGACCCCCTCCCCAGCGACCAAGTACGACCCTCTCCCATGTGTTTCACACAACGATGCTGTACCTTGATCATCCTGAGCTCGCCTCCACTAGATTTTTCAACATTGTTAGTAGCCAACGATCCAGTAAATAAATAAATATAGTAGGTTGTCACTCACTAATCATATCGCCAGTTGATCGAGACTGCAGCCTTGACAGTGATGATAGCGGTAATAGTGGCTGGCCACTTGACAAGATGGAACGGTCGCTGAAATATGAAACGAGTATTTCTTAATAGCTTATTAGGAAGTATGTCAAACATTTCTGTAGTTTCCATATATGGAAATGTTAAGCGGACTTAAATGTGGAAGATGGTAACGTCCAAGGGAGAACTCTTAAGAATTCAGCATACCAAATCCCATCAAAAAATACTCCACTCGTCTTTGCTACGGTCGCTGGAGCGTGTCAGGGGTCCCTGTTTGGCGCGGCGCCAGCCTCCACCAATTGTGGAAGCTGGAAGACGACCATAATTGATGGAAAATTGGCTAAGCGTTAAGCCCAACCCTCCTGACACGCCCCTGCGTCCGCAGCGAACAAGACTATATGTGTGTGGAAATGTAGCTTGTATTTACTGAAAAGAAAGGCGTTCGGTTGTTCAGGCGGTTGCTCAATCCTGCAATTGAAACGCCTCGTGTCTTATGGCACAGGAAAATAATTGACTACGCATGGGCCAAAGCTCGTAATGTATAGTAGTTCGAGCCCAACTGCATTCGGATCGAAATACTATGCTCAAGTAAAGTGGAATGTACGGCGCATCCCAAAAAGGGAATGCCAAATAAAAAAGGCTCTCTATTCAGATCGTGTACTCCTCTCGTTGCAACTCAAAACTAACTGTACATCCTTTTTCAAGGATGGTGTCGTGAAGAGAATGGGTCCGCAGCTGCAACACGTCCCACTTTTTCCGCTCGAAAGGGCACGGGGAGGGGTTAGAGGGTAGTGATACCCAGTGCCCTCTTCCGATCCCATCTGCGCTGTTTTTAAGGTGCATCACTTGCATAGACATTGAAACCACCACAGAGAACACGCCACGGGTGCCTCAGGGTAGAGGACAGCCAGAAGTGACAGGACGCAGAAAAGTTACGAGTTCGGCTATGGTTGGGCGTGTAGCTGGCTGTACTGAGCGAGCAGGGTCGGAAAACGGCACCAGTGTGTCGCTACCCTCCAACCCATTTGTACTTTGAGTGGAGAAAGAACAGGCCACACTACAGCTGCGGACCTTTTAGCGCACACGCATCAGGGACCACAGTCCAAGTGTACAGTTTGCCTTTGGCAGGGGGTGCATCATCCCAAAGTATCACACTAGGGAATTTCAGCATATTTTAGGGATAAATGACGTTGTTACTGGGGCCAAACGCAGCGAATCGGTCAATAAGAAGAGCGCAGTTGATTGGGGTAGACGACGCCTCACACCTCACGAGATGATGGCAAG